TTACATTAGACATAATTGACATGCAGACATGAGTGAGCGACGAGGAGCTACATGTGGTTCTGGTTTGTCCTGTCAGGGTCTGATCTCGGCCCATGAGCAGTTCAAGTCCACGCTGCCGGAGGCCAACAAGGAGCGCGAGGCCATCCAGGCCATCCAGGCCGAGGTGCAGAAGATCGCCCAGAGCAACGGCATCAAGCTGAGCGGCGCCAACCCCTACACCACCATCACGCCCCAGAGCATCGACAGCAAGTGGGAGAAGGTGGGCTGGCCTCATGCTGTCACGCTGCTGCTGCTTCTATGACAGATTTGATCTTCCTCAGGTTTTATCATGTTGTTTAGTTTTATTATGTTTAGATTTTTATCTCTCTAGATCATCCCCCGCATCTTTTTTGGGTTTTATTTCCAGTTTATTATTTCATCACTTTAAAACTAATTACCAGTGAGGAGAAGTTTCCTTAGAGGGATAATCAGATGGTGTTGGATGTTTCTTTTTGCTCTGTTGACGTGTTTAGCAGAGGATTCCTGGACATCGCCTGTTAGCCGCTACAGCTAGCGACGCTGCAGTCGCCATTACTCTGCATTCACTCGTATCCATAGGTTGTTTTCATGTTGTTTGCACTGAATTCTGCAGCACATCTGCATGTTAAGGTTTTCATAATCAAGCTAGCATAGCTAACCTACTTCCAACTTCATGTAACTGTTTTAAATTTAAACTTTTTTCTGACCTGTGAAATGTGAAACCCTTGGACCTCGTCATTGTTTCAGATCGTAGAGTAACATGTTTCGTGCCTCCCGTTGTGCATCCTGCAGGCCATGGCCATGGTGCCGCAGCGTGACTGCGCCCTGCAGGACGAGCTGAACAAACAAAACTCCAACGACTCGCTGAGAGCCACCTTCGCCGCCCAGGCCAACTCGGTCGGCGCCTACATCCAGGCCAAGATGGAGGTAACGGACCACTGAGCTGGCGAATGTTCCCGGCGGCCGGTTCGGATCGTAACCGCTCCCTTTGTGTCTACAGGAAATCGGCAGGATATCCATCGAGATGAACGGCACCCTGGAGGACCAGCTGACCAACCTGAAGGATTACCAGAAGACCATCTTGTCCTACATGCCGGAAATCAACAAGCTGGAGGGACACCACCAGCAGATCCAGGAGGCGCTGATCTTTGACAACCAGTACACGTCCTACACCATGGAGGTAAAGTATCACTCAGAGCGGATGACGGGCTTTTAGACACTTCGGTTGGCGTCAGATTAACTGCAACAAGGTTCATCCAACACTGGGTTTCCAAACGTTTTATCAAAATCAAGTCAGAAATACTAAAAGATGAAATAAAACCAAGCAAATAGTCAGTTTTTCTGCAGAAAATGGATGACGATCAGATCCTGTTGCTGTTCAGCAGTGAAGCTTTAATGAGGCGTCGCTGAACACTGACCCCTGCTGGACATTTCAAATACCTGCAGTTGACACAGATTTGATCACCAAGTATCTGCAATATTATAATTTAAGTCATTGTATTTTATACAAGTATCTTTTAAATAAATATATTTTATATCTTTATTTAAATTCAATATATTTTTGATATTTTTAGATTTAGTTGATAAATAATGTGACGGAAGAGGCCGCTGCACTGACCCATTGAAAACCTCCAGGTTATTCCACCAAACACTGACACCTGAACTCTTCCAGAGTTAAATGAATATGAACTTGTTTTCTTTGCATCTTTTTCTGTCATTTTCTGATTAAATACTAAATCTTTGCTTGGAATTTCAGAGACATGCTGTCAGTTTGTAGAATTAAACAACAATGTTTATTTCACTCAAACATAAACCTATGAAGAGTAAAATCAGAGAAACTGATCATTTTAGGAGGCCTCTTATTTTTTTCCAGACCTGCGTCTGTGTAGACCTGTAATACCTGATACGTCTGTTAAAAGAAGAAATATTCCAGCATTTTGAAATGGAGTCTTATGCTTCTTTGATACGACACACGGCACGGATAAGAAAACGGTTTGGATAACGGTGTGTTTCCTGCTGCAGCACCTCCGTGTCGGCTGGGAGCAGCTGCTCACCACCATCGCCAGAACCATCAACGAGGTGGAGAACCAGATCCTGACACGCGACGCCAAGGGCATCAGCCAGGAGCAGCTGTTCGAGTACCGCGCCTCCTTCAACCACTTCGACAAGGTCAGGGGTCACTCGCTGCGCCGCCCTTCTCCTCTTGATCCAGGACAGTTTGTTACAGGAAGCTTTAGATTTTACAGATTTAAACATTTACTGGTGTTTTTCTCTGAGATGTTGATCAGACGGCGGCGAGCAGCCGGGTTGTTTTTAGTCGCTTTAAACTCCGGCGGCCATTTTGATTTCCATAAACGGAGCGTCGCTGTGGGATGTCGTCGTTCTTCTTCTGCTCATTGCTTTAGAGTTGCAAACCGTCTGATTTACACAGAAGTCTGATTCTGTCGGATTTCATTAGATGACCACAGAAAATAAAATCGGATTTCTGCGATAAATCGGAATTCGGATCAACTGAAACCAAGGATGAATATTGTAGTTTAAAAAATACTTTATTGGTCCCAGTAAATGATGTTGTAACTCACATTAAATCAAATTCAAGCCCCTCAGACCTACTGATGAAGCACGGTGGTGGCTCTGTGAGGCTGTGGGCCGGCTTCTCTTTGATTAACAGCAGAAGTTTTAATAAAAAAAGAACAGGAAATAATATTCCTTTAGATTTTTCTAGAATGACTCGTATTTCTCTCCATTTTCCAGTCGTATTTTGACAGCAGAGTGTTTGTTTTCAGTTGCTTTAACTAGGCCAGTGGTGTCATGGTGTCCCTCTCTGTGGTTTTGTTAAACTGGAAGCATCATAAGGATGAGAAGGTCACAGCGTTCATCACTCCGCCGTGTTTCAGCCACTCCGTCATCAGATTCATCGTGTCTGCTGTGTTTTTGTTTTTGACGTCGTCTAAACATCCTTCAATGTCCGTCTGTCTGTCCCTCCATCGTCCATCCATCATCCGTCCATCCATCATCCGTCCATCCATCATCCGTCCATCCATCATCCATCCATCCCTTCATCCTCATGATGCGTTGCTCTTACGGCTGCCTGGCCGACCGCAGGATCACAGTGGAGCCCTGAAGGCGGAGGAGTTCAAGGCCTGTCTGATCAGCCTGGGCTACGATGTGGAGAACGACAAGCAGGTAGGAGCAGCCGGGTCCGGAGCGGGCGCCTGGGTCCGGAGCGGGCGCCTGGGTCCGGAGCGGGCGCCTGGGTCCGGAGCGGGCGCCTGGGTCCGGAGCGGGCGCCTGGGTCCGTGCCGGGTCCGAGCGGGCGCCTGGGTCCGTGCCGGGTCCGAGCGGGCGCCGAGCGGGCGCCGAGCGGGAGCCCGGCGGCCATCGCTGACTCGCCTCCAACCCTGAAATCAGCTGTCAGGGCTGAGCTTTACTTTGCTGTTTCTCTAAAAACTGTAATAAATGCAGAATAAAGACGGATTTTAATCCCTTTAGTGCAGAAACGTTTAACTGCTGGAGCCTGAAAATAAATTCAGGAGTCGAATCTCTTCATGACAAGAAAGTTTCGTTTTAATACAAACGAGAAAGTTGTTTAAGGCGAGTTTCTTAAAATGCAAGAGTCTTGTCAAAATTAGTTTGACGATGTTAAAATGTTGAAACATTGTAAAAAAAAACTTGATACAATACGAGTTTTATATATTCTGTTTGCTCCCGACGTCTAAAAATGTCAAGAGATTTCATTTTTACATCTTATTTAAGAGAAGATATTCTGGTTTTATTGAGAGAAATCAGGTTTTTGTTTTTAAATCTTGTTGAAACTGGAAAGTTTCTCGTAACGACATGTTGCTCCTGAATTTACTTCCAATCTCTGGCAGTAAAAGACTTCCGTATTTTAGAGAAATTTAAGACACATTTTTCCTCAGTTATTTATTTTAAACAGTCAGTTTGTAGATTTAAGTTGGAGGTGAAGTCGGGTCAGCGATCAGCCACGCCGGTCCCGGCCGATCCGGGTGTCTTTGGGTCGTCGTCGTGGCGATCGGGCAGCTGTGATGTTCCTGTCTGTCCACCAGGGGTCTCTGTAGCTCTGTCTGTCTCTGTCTGTTTTACGCTGCAGCTGTTAACTGTCTGTGGTTTTTATCTTCACATCTTCCACCTCTCTATATCTCTGTCCGTCCTTTCCTCGTCTCCGTGACCTTCGACCTTTGCTGTGCTGCGGCGGCTGCAGAAGCGATCGGGTCAGATGGTGTCGGATGATTTCCGGGCTCTGCTCATTTCTACAGGAAACAGTCTGGTACTGCTGCTGCCTCCTGGTGTTCCTCAGGGCGTCTGCAGGGCGAAAACTCACCTGGACGAAGCAGTGAAGGATCGTCTTAAAACGATTAATCAACTAATTTAGTCATCGATTAATCGTTAACTGGAGAACACAATTTTTGTTAGAAGGCTATTTGTAGAAAGAACAACATACTCAGAGCAGTAATTAGGCCCAAACTGTATAAAAATAAATACATTTGCATTCAAGATTAAAAAGAAACATTTTTGTCTAATTGTTTCTCAGAACTCCCAGATAGTGGCAAGTTTGGCTCCAAATTTTGTAAAATAAAAAAAGAAAAGAAAAGGATCCTGTTGATCACTTTTTGCTATCAATTATTGATCAGTTCATCCAAAACTAATCACCAAATCAGCCCTACGCTGTATGAAGCCAAGCAGAAAGAACTGAGCTTTTCACATTTAGTTTTTTAGCGTTCACTAAAGGAATGTTGTTGCATTCTAGGCAATGAAAAGTTTTCCTTATTTAATTATAAATAATAAATTATTATAAATAAAATTAAATGTTTTAGTGGATTTCTGATATTATATTAAAGTGAAAAATCTGCAGAACTTTGTAATCGATTAATCGTCAGAGTAATCGATTAATCGTCAGAGTAATCAATTAATCGGTTGCTTAAATGATCGTTATTTTCAGCCGGAGCGTGTGTTTTTTTTGTTAGAACTCCGGGTCAGGACTGATTGAATCCATCAGGACTGATTGAATCCATCAGGACTGATTGAATCCATCAGGACTGAGTTCAGAGTTTCCTCCTCTTCACCTGCAGACGCCTGAACTTCTGTAAACGTCACGTCTTTGTTTTCTCTCCTCGTCCATTTGTCCAGTCGTCTCGGCATGAATCGCCCCAGACGTTTGTCTTCTGTCTCCGTCGTACGTTAACCTTCGATCAGACGGCGCCGTCCTCATGCATGCTGGGAAATAAAACACCCAGTTCTCTGGATGTTTTCCCGCCGTCATTAACCTCTGTGTCCGACCCGAGCCGCCGCCGCCTCGCCCCGGTTAACCTGTGCTGCTCTCTCGGTTGCCAGGGCGACGGGGAGTTCAACCGCATCATGGGCATCGTAGATCCCAACAGCTCCGGCTTCGTGACCTTCCAGGCCTTCATCGACTTCATGTCCAGGGAAACGACCGACACGGACACGGCCGACCAGGTCATCGCCTCCTTCAAGATCCTGGCTGGAGACAAGGTGAGTGGAGGACGGGTCCGGATCGCCGGCGCCAAACGAACTGACCCCTGGACAACTGGCCTGTTGTCACATCCTGGTCCTGTCTTATAATTCTATAAATGTTTGGCAGCTCATTCAGGACACTAACGCCTCACTTTTGGTATTTTAAAATAGATTTTTTTTAATTGAAAACCTGAAGTCTGAAGCTAAACGTTACACTTTTTGAGACTCCAAAGTTTAGACGGGTCAGATGGCATCAGGCTGCCTTCAACTCATTCAGCTTTTAAATCTTTTTTTTATTGCAATTTTTGTTTTTTAACTTCCTTTGGAATCCAATGATGGATTTAATCAACTAACCTAGTAACTGAAGATTTTAAAATTTGTTTTTTCACAAACAAAATGCTGTTTGTACAGATTCAGTCCACAGGATGGTTTTATGCATCGGAGCGTGCTCATTCGTCGATGCTGCAGGTGTTTTTCTTTCAGACGCTCCGGCGTGTCGGCCCTCCCCCCTCCGTTGTTGTTTAGATATTTCCAGCTCTCTGTTTCTCTCCGTTCATCGTGAGTCGCTTCAGTCTCTCTGCTCTCGTCTTTCTCCCATCAGAACTTCATCACGGCTGACGAGCTGCGGAGGGAGCTGCCGCCGGACCAGGCCGAGTACTGCATCGCTCGCATGGCGCCGTACGCGGGGCCCGACGGCGTCCCCGGCGCCCTGGACTACATGTCGTTCTCCACGGCCCTGTACGGAGAGAGCGACCTGTAGAGGAGGAGGCGGCGCGGCCCGGGGGGTCCAGGGGTTCTGTCGGCTGGCCCCGGATGTGCCCGTTTGATTCCCAGAATATTTGTCCGACCCGCGGCTTGTTGATTCAACCGGAGGTCCTGAAAGTTTAGAACGGGCACATCCAGGGGCAGCACTTCCTGAGTTCACCCCGTTTGGTTTTTGTTTTGTGGGTAAAACTGGGGCGGGGGGGCAGCATTCTGGACTGGGGGGGGATCACACAAGCTAATCTGATACTTATGCTAATTTTGTTTATTTTAATTTTTCTTCTTGCCAGGTGGGAGGGGTCTGGGGGAGGGGGTCAAAGGTCAGGGTCTCCTACAGCAGCTGGCAAGGTCTGTGTATTAGATCCTAGAGAGATATATGCTGGGGGGGGGGGGGTACTTCCTCCCACCCCGGAGCCGGTTGTTTATTTCCAGGCGGCGGGATCGGGGGGTTCCCCAGTGGCTTGGCGAATCTGAACAAATACTCAAATTTATCTCTGAAGTTTCCTGGATTTCTAGAAGACGTCCTCCGTCCCGCTCCTCCCTTCCCAGAGGAGGGGTGTACTTATTTAAACGCTCCCATCATGTCAAACCGCAACCAAATTAAGAAAAACCAGAAACTATGCAATCATGTTCTGACCGAGTTCTCGCTCGGGTAATTGGAGTAACATCCGCCACTAACGAGGGAGGAGGGGGAGGCGGCCGGAGGGGCGGATCAAACGGGGGGGAAATAAGTTTTCCTCCCTCTTTTTTCTGTTAAGTTGAAAAAAGAAATGATTTTTTTCCTTTTTTTGTACTCTTTAATATCGAACCTTATCTGCTGTACTGGAAACTGCAACGCCTTCTGTCTAATGATACATGACTTTCACAAAGCACACATAAAAGGTTTCCTTACAAAACGCCTTGGCTCGTCTCTTCCTTTAATCTGGGATTAAATGTTTTAACTCTGGAATTATTTTCCTCTGGATGGAGAAATAAAATCAAAACGTCGCATCTGGATTTTATAGGTTCATTTAAAACATGTTGGTAAAATGTTCTGATAAAAATCACCCTTTAACACTTTTAATCCTTGCATTGTTTTGGTTGGTTTATCTTGTTCACACTGCCACCTGCTGGAATAAACATGTAATGTTCATCAAACAACCAAACAAATCAACTTCTGAGTTTTTCTATCATTGAAGAAGAAGAATATAAATACTTCTGTTTGTTTGGACTGGCGGCCCAACAGTCTAAAACAAATGGTGTTCAAAGTAGGGTTCAGGAGCCATCTGCGGTCGCTGGATCAATTTTTTACGGCCAGCCAACACAATTCAAGAATAAATTGGGACAAAACAGAGTCTCAAATTAAAATCTAACTAATCCAGGCTTTCCGGTTTCCTTCTGTCGTCATGGTAACCAGAACTGAATCTACTTGCACTCTAAAGTCCACCATGTTGCACCCAAATCTGATTTTAATTGAACACAGGAAGTGTTTTCAAATTAAGACTCGCGTTGATCCCGTTTCCATTTCTAAGAATAGATTAAATATTTAAGTTTTTTTTTTTTTTTCAAAAGAGCAAAATGGATGCCATTTTAACAAGGAAAACTGGTGTGTGTGTGTATATATATATATGTATATATATATATATATATATATATTTCATGCTTTATTTTAGTTCATGGTATATTTGATTTCAGTTAAAAAAATTTTTTGGGACGACTCGAACCTCTGGAGATGGTGCAAATCAGGATTAATCATAAAATGAACATTAGGAACAAAAATAAAACATCAACAAACTGTCGTATAATAGAGCATCTTCAGCCAGAGGCTTAATCTGAAACGCTGCAATACAGACTGCTACAGGAGACTTTTCCTATTCACTGCTGTTGGCATCTGCAAACCTGAATGAATTTAGTTTCTCTGTAGAATGAAGTATTTTTTAGAGTAAATGACTGTTAAAATATTTTGTATTTATATTTTTAAATTGTAAAACTTTCCTTCATGTTTAAATCCAGTTGTAAAATAAATTTCAGAGGAATAAACAGACAATAAAATAATCAGTAAAAGCTGAATTTATTGAGGAAATATTTTCACCAGACTCAACATTCAATGTTTAGAAGAAGATTAAACGGGTAAATGAAATTTTAAATTTCCTCAAGAGACCCAAATAAGCAGGCTCTGATCATGGTGATAAAAGGTTCACATGTGGGAGAATAAAAACGAAAAGGAAGCGAAACAAAGTGGATCCGGGCGCAGCGGGTCCGCCTCAGCTGTACAAGGTCATGTAGAGCCACTGGAACCAATCAGAGAGCAGGAAACGGTTGAGACGCATCAAACAGGAAGTCAGATCACTCAAAACATGCTGGAGCACATTGGAAGGTTTTCAGACTTTAACATCATTAAGGCATTTAAATCTAAAGTCTATAAAATAAAATACTGTAGTGTCTGTCAGCATTTTCATTTACACTGAAAAAACACAAAATCTTACTAAGTATTTTAGTTTCTAGCTTAAACGTCTCAGTTCACTTGAATTAAGACAAAACTTTCAAGCAACTTTTTAAGCAAAATACAGGAGTTAAATCCTTAATGTTGATGAAAAATCCTTGTTACACTGGTATTTAATTTAGAAAATAAATGTTCCAGTAAGTGATAGTAATAGAACTAGTAATGTTATCAATATTAAGGATTTACAGTCTTAAAACAAGCTCCTATATCTTGCTGAAAAGTCAGTAATAACTTAGTTTAGTCTTATTTCAAAAATGTTGTTTTTGCAGTGTATTTCTGCACATTTTGTACCCGTTTCCTCTAAATTACCTGCATATTTTTTAATGTTGCTATTTTTTAAATAACCGAGTCACTATTCTCCTCATGCTGTAAATTTGTCCTTACAGTAAAGTCTCTTATTCTAATATATATATATATATATATATATATACATATATATGCTCCTGCAGGCAGTAGCCCAGGGCGTTAATATTTGTTGGGCAGAAAAGATTTCTTTTCTATGAATACCTTAAAAATCTTTATGAATTTAAAACATTTTTTTTGCAAGATTTTGCATTCTATCTTATATAAAACTCATAGTTCGACATCAAATTAATTACATTTTGGGGATTTTTATGAATATAAACAATACATAAATATTTGAAATAAGAAGCTAATGCTCAGGTGACGTATAAAACCTGCTGTGCATTAATTCATGTATAAAACTACATAATTTGTTATTTGCATTAGGAGGAGTTTTCTGTGGTGGATTAATCTGTCTCCAGCCCGGGGCCCCGGTTCCTGTAAATACGGCCCTGCACCTGAACTTTCCCACTCTGGGACACTGAAGGATATTTATTTTATTTTATATTGTCTGTCAAACATTTTTTATTTCAGTTTTTTTCCAGTTTTCTCATCTTGAACTTGAACATTTCAGATTCCTGGAGAGCCTGAGATGAAGCCCCTGGATTGTTTTTGTTTTGACTTTATAATAATCTAATAATTTAGAATTATTTTCTCTCTGTATAATTATGAACTTCAGATGGTTTGGAAATGGCCCTGTAACTCTTCCTGGGAATTTCTGATGATTTCCCGTCAGTTTTTACTAAAACTGTTAAACCTTTTATGTTATTTTAAGCTTTAATTAGTTCCTGTTCTTACCTGTGTGTAGCTGATTGTTATGGTTCCAAGTCCCATTACGTCATGAACTTGAAATTTGTCTGAAGAAGAAGAAGGAAGCAATGATGAAGTTTGAATGTTCTCATTTTCTGGGGAAAATCATGATTAAAAACATTCATTTAGAAATAAAACCACAAATGAATCAGAAATTCTGATGGATTTATACAGAACTGGATGACCAGGTGTTAAATTATAGATTATGAATTTGATCATTGCACCCATATTTGAGTACATGTAGGTATGATGCGAATTAGTGACACTAGACACTAAAGGAATGAAACAGAGTTTTCCATCCCAGTATGTTCCTTTTAGCTCCAGGTTGCATCATGAAATTTGTCAGCAGAAGAAGAAGAAAGCAGTCTGCGTTTCCTGGCCGCTCTTACGGATCATGCTCTCCATCTTCATGAGCAGGAACAGGAAGCCGGGGTAGCTGATGGTCAGGTCGCTCTCCGTGTATCTCAGTCCCACCAGCTGCATCACCAGACCATTCACCATGATGCCTGCAGCAGACGCAGCGGTCAGCAAAAACCAGCGGCTTCTGGTTTACTGAGCGGCGACAGGAGACTTCGTTACTCCGAACTAAAACTCTAGAGCTGATTAATCTCATTTTTATCAAAATGCCACAATGCCAGAGGGAAAATCACAATGAGGAAGATTTTGTCAAAAAACAAACCAAGAAACACAACGAAGCTGAAACTTTAGATTAAAAACTTAAAGCTGCAGTATGGAGCTTTTTTTTTTTATAAAATATTTTTTAAAATATTTGTTTAAGCTGTCTACCTGCTGCCTTCAGGGCCGGTTCGACCTCTTTGTACTCCAGGTGATGAGTTTTATTCGTGTCGTAAACCAGGAAGATATCCTAAAAACAAAAACAACAACAAAGAAAAGGAGCAGAGAGCGAGTGAAAAACCAGAACATCTCATGTTTTCCTGTGAAGGAATGAAAATATCTGCAGCCGTGGGACATCCGGTGGTGTAAGAGATGCCGGTGTTGCTATGGTTACCGTCCACTTCCTGATTTTGTCCCACAGCAGCTGGAAGTCAGACCAGTTCAGCTTCGCTTTGCCTTGGCTCTGCAGAAAACAGCGAGGTCAAGGCAAGCAACCGGAACATCCCGACTGTCCTCGAACGCAGCGCAGAGTCCGCGCGCTGTAAAAACTAAAAGCTAAAAGTATTCAACTGAAACATCCCGACTGTTTTGGGTTGAAAATTATTCATATGTTACTAATAGCCGTTAATATGTTTAATTAAAGTTTAATTAAAATATTGCCTGCTTTTTTGATATATAAATCCAGAATATATTTTTTTAATTTTAGTTTTCAAAAATAATGTAATTTTTTGGCCTGTGAGTATTTTTAACAAGCTTTTTGTACCAAATTAGAAAAAGACTGTTAGCATCACAGTTTCCTGATGACCGATTTTAACATACTGGGATTTGGCACCACCTCTGGCTCAAAGTGGAACTGCAGAGGAAGCAGTTTAGCAGCTTCCTGTTTTTATATTTTCTCTTTAACAAACATTTTGTTTATGTAGGAACCGGTGTGGGTCCGTTTGAGCCGAAGCGTCCCGGTGGGTTCTGTGAGGATACGTCCATCAGGACTACCAGGCTCTTGCAGTGCTCCAGAGAAAGGTACCGCTCACTTCCTGCCAACACTGAACACACCACAGGCGGCCATTTTAGCCAGAGAGCTGGTGAAATGTGGCGGTTTGAGAGGAAACATGGAGAGAAACGAACCTCCGCCCTGCAGCGCCTCAGTCAGCAGCCGCTGCAGCCGCACAGGTTTACACAAACCCTCCTGGAGAAGAACACAAGGAACAATTCAAAACTTTTAAAGATTTTCAAGGAGGTCTGGTTTCAAATGTAAATATTTTCCAAATTTAAGCTTTTAATCAAACATTAGATTGAACTTTATTTCCAGACTGTGCAGTTTGAACATCAAGAACTTTCAAGGACTTCATGCAGAAATCAAAAACTTTCCCAACCTTGAAAACACCTACAGGAAATTCAAGCATTTTCCAGGATTTTACCAGTATGAACCTTTTTTATTAAGGTTGGGAAAGTGAAACAACCTGTTTTTAACAACAGGCTGTTTCACTGTCATTAAAAACTATAGAGGAATTGTTTTCAGACTTTGACTAGACCGTTCCTTCTAGCTAAATTTTCTGGCATTTAGCAAAAATAAATAATTGTGGCAATTATGACTGACATAAAACAAGAAAAGTTTAGTCTGCTTTGATTTTAAAAAACAGTTTCATCATTATTATTATAATATTTTATTAAAACTGACTGTCCTCATCTGGCCTTTTAATCAAACGTTACATTTTATTACAGAGCTGTTCTGTTTGAATATTAAACACTTTCCAGGCCTTGAAAACAACTGATTGAACCTGAATCATTTTAAAGCATCAGAACTTCTCCAGCCTCCTTCCAGTCTGCGGTTTCCCAGTTCCCACCCAGAACCAGAACCTGTGGTGAACGTCGGGCCTCACCTTGTTGCTGTGTCTGTGGAAAAGCTTTCTGATGGCTGCGTCCGTCGGCAGCGCGGCCTGGTGAGGAAACGAGTGCTGCAGGGAAAATCACAAACCTTCAATCAGCCACTTCTGTCCAAACGGCACAGAATAAATAAATCGGCTCAAACATCCGCAGCAGGAAGGAAGCGGGACGTTTTCCTGTCTCCACTCAGGGAAATAAAACGGGACATTTATATCAGAAACTTTTACTCAAAGGAAGACTTTAGTGCAACTAAATCTGCTCTTAGCTAATTTATTAAACATTTAAACAGTGATCCATTTTCTTGTCTTATTGCTGAAAATGTCCAATGTGAATTTGTATTTTTTTACTCCAAAACTTAATGCCTTTATTATAAAGAGACAAAATTTTAATTGATTTTTAAGGTTTGGATTCAAAATTATTCATAAGCCCTGCCTAATTTCTTTGTTTAATTAAAATATTTCCTTTGTTTATTTTTGAGAAGATATACAAATCAATTATATATTTTTTGTAATTTTAGTTCTAAAAAATTAAATATTCTTTTGGCCTGCGATTATTTTTAACAAGCTTTTCGTACCAAACTACAAAAAACAAAAACCCTGATTTGACGGTTTGCTTCAGGGTTTGGCGCCACCTCTGGCTCACATAGGAACTGCAGGCTCCAAAGAGGAATCAGATTCTGGTTCTTACAGATTTTCTTTTATAAATAATTAGTTTAAATGTTAGTAAATGTTTTAAAAGCTGAAAAACCTTATGAGTCTGTTTTACACCACAGGACGCGATCCTAACTCTGATTTGGGAGAAATGAAAACTTTGCGTTACCTCTCTCCTCGACAAAGCGTCGAGCGGCGTCGGTTTGTGAGCCGGACTGAAAAAAACATTCAAAACAGCAAATAAAACACACAGTCAGGGGGAAAAGAAAGCAAACCTCATTCAGTTCTCTGGCTTTACACTTCAGGACATAATGAATCAAAATGATTTAAAATCATTAAAGTTAAGAGTAAAAAAAAACATATTTTTGAATATTTTTATATTATTTATGAGGCAAATGTAACAGATGAATAATTGTTCTCTCTTTCTAATGATTTTTAAAAATCATTTAAAACAATACTTTTTTTACAGTTTGAAAAAAAAGTCAAAGTATGAAAAAATGAAAGCTATTCTGATAACTAATAAAAACTGACCTATATTTAACTAATAAAACCAGCAAGCACACTCTAAAAACTAAACTAAAACATTATTTAACTAATAACAACGAACAAAGACTAAAACTAACTGAATTAATCAAACAAATGAAATAAAACTACAACGAAAAGGTAAACGACAGAAACCGACGTGGCGTGGCTGCCCGGCTCCGTCAGCACCCTGAGCAGGAACTCCCCCTGCTGGTTGGGTTCAGAGGTCGAGGGGATGATGATGTAGCGACCCGGAGGGAGCGAGGTGCGGAGGACGACCTCCCGCCGCGTCGAGTAGCTCGTGCAGAAGAGGAAGCCTCTCCGCAGATCCTCTGCTGACAGGAAGGTGTTCTGAGGATGAGCCTGGAGACACAAACATGTTTTATTACAAGTTTTTAAATGAATGTTGGCAAATCGAACCGGAATAAACGTTAAAACCAGATCAGCTAGCAGGAAGCATTTCAGCTAACTTGATCACTACAGAGACGATGTAAACATCACGGCATCTCCTGATCCTTCACTAACAGAAGCTGGAAGGTAAAACAGCTCCACACTGTAAAACCCACAAAACAAAAACTGACACATTATTTCATTTCTTCTCCATTTTATGAGTGAAATAATCTGCCTGAACTGGAATTTTTTCTCAATATTAAGGAATTATTTACTCAACACAGGCTCCTATTTCTTGCTAAAAAGTTACTTGTAAGTTAGTTTTAAGTTAACTAAAATATTTGCACAAAAAACTAAACCAAAATACTTGGAGCACACTGCAAAAACACAAAACACACAAGTATTTTTGCACTAGAATCTAGAGAAAAATGCTTGGTAATATTTTGTGGTTTTGCAGTGTAAGTCCTCCTCCACTCCTTATCCTAGAATTCTGTTCTCAAGTTGGGTCATTAAATGCATCGATACCTGACTTCGGGACCATATCTGCCTCTGTGTGTGTGTGTGTGTGTGTGTGTGTGTGTGTGTGTGTGTGTACCTGGTATATATGCAGGCCCACAGTGAGATTAATGCCTCGGCGTCTCTGATATTTCTGCATGAGGGCCACAATGAAGGAACAGCCTTTTTGGCTGTTTCTGTCCACCTCCGACAGAACCAAAAGGAACTGGGGATTCTGCCAGAAGAAGTCTGGAACACACACACACACACACACACACACACACACACACACACACACACACACACACACACAGCCATGATCTGAAGTCAACAGGCAAACAGAGTTTATATTCCTGAGGATCAAAGTAGTTTTCCTATTAGCTCTTCTGTATGAGTTTTTTTATGATTCTGTTTCTTTAAATCCAAATCAGCTCATGCTGGCCACGCCCCCCAACTCAACCCAATTTACTTTTCTTAATAACATAAACATTTAAATAACATGTATAATTTTCCTTCCACTTTACTGTAAACTGATTTGTTCACGTAAAGTCGTCAAACTGCTCTGAGGTTTTTCTCATACTGGATCATAAATGACTGTAAATGTTAAACTGTCTCACTGTTTTCAGGAGGTCCTCCAGCTGTGATGTTCGGTATCCAGGCTCCATGATGCATGACGCATTTCCACGGCGACACGTCAGAGCCGGGCGCGCTCTGCGCCTCCGTCAGGTGACACACCTCCATCGTGTCAAAGTTCAGGTGGAAGTCAGACACCGACATCCTGACAGCGGCACAAACAGTCAGAGCAAGAAGTCCATTCACCGATGCCTCCAACCAGACCAAAGATCCATTCCATCTATTAGTC